ACGTGATCGCTAATGGGTACATTTACCTCGGCTGCAAAAAGAACCGAACATAACGAGACGCGTGGTTAAACGAAAGCGCGTTTCACGCTCGATCAGCAAAAGATTTGCAACCGACGTATTTTTTCGCGAGGTCATCGATCGATAATTCTATCGAGACAGAAGTGACCGCAGTGAGAGTGTCCCGGTTAGTGGCAAGAAATCATAGTGGAAAGAAAAGTATGCAGCTACTTTCCAGCTTCATGGCGAGGCATCTGAAGCGAGGAGCATCCTTGAGGAAAGGTACGGCACTGCGAATGAGCCAGAACACTTATTTAGAACAATGCCATCGTAATTACCCCTCCGCAGAAATACGAGATCCTCGAAGCACCTCTTCTCTTTTTTTCTTTCCTTTGGAACCCTACAGTCTTTGTTTTTCCGCTTGATACGGGACAATTAATCATGATTTTCTCACGATCGAGAGATTTGTCGGTGGTTCAGGTACTACTGTTTCGTACACTTGATTGACAGCGCTCTTTTCTCTTCCTTGTTGATTTATCATTTTAATAAGCAGGCAGGTTTTTGGCCAATTCACTCTGTACGTGATGCGTTCGCTAGACAATTCTGTAAGCCTCAACACGATAATAATAATATATGGAATAATAGTACAAGGCTTAGGATTTAATCAGAATGTTAATATGTAGCTTCCATTGATACTTTAAGTTTGATTTATCGTTTAAATAAGCAGGCAGGTTTTTGGCCAACTAATTCCGTACGTGAAGCTTTCGCTAGACAATTCTGTAAGCCTCAACACGATAATAATAATATATGGAATAATAGTACAAGGCTTAGGATTTAATCAGAATGTTAATATGTAGCTTCCATTGATACTTTAAGTTTGATTTATCGTTTTAATAAGCAGACAGGTTTTTGGTCAATTCATTCTGTATGTGATGCTTTTGGTAAACAGTTTTGTAAGTGCCTCTTGATGCTATGGCATAATAGTGTAAGATTTAATGGAAATGATAGTATATAACTGCATTGATATTTTAAGTATGAAATAATTGTTTATTAGAGCACACAGTGAATCAGAGCGCGATTTGTGCATTGATATACGAATGAAACGGTTTCATGACAGAAAATTATTGCAAAATGATTCTTATATTGCAGCAATTTGAAGCTTGAAGTTTCAAGAAAATTACTGCATAAAAATTTCAACGTATTCTCAATCTAAAATAACTAATTTATTAACAAGGCAGTTAAAATGAATCAAAGTGAAATTTGTATATTGATACTTCACGAATGAGGAGACTTCATGACAGAAAAGTATTTTAAAATGGCACTTATGGTACATCAATTTAGAGCTTAAGATTTAATAGAACTAACGGTATAAATATTTAATTGAGATTTTGCGTGTGTGGCAATTAATTGATTATTATTGATGTAAGCAATTGATCAGAATTAAATTTGTATTTTAATCTTTCACAGACAACAAAAAAATAGCAAATAGCACTTGTAACATGTCGAATTGAAGTTTAAAGATTGAAATAATATAATATAAATGTTTCATCAATACTGCCAATATGAAACGAATAATTGCCTATTAGAGCAAGCAATGAATCAGAGCGAAATATTGCGCTAATTGCTCACATGGCAATTTCACATGGTTACTTAGAAATTCGTCGTTTGTTGCCTGTGAAAGACGGATTATGATGTATGTTATTTGATCAATATGAACCGAAATATCTGACCGGAGTATGAAAGAAGTGGATACAATCACGCGATGTTAATGTCGTTTGATCAGTGCTGATAAAGAAACAAATGTTGCTCACGTTTAAATTATTACTGTGTAGCGTGGTCTACACTTATCCGTGGCCATTTTCAAGTTCCTAAATTTTTAAATTTATAATTTTTTAAATTTTCAGATTACTAAAGCTCCACGTTTTCAAATTTGCAAGTCCTTCGATCTCCAAATTCTCAAATTATTTAATTTTTCAGTTTAAAGACTTTTACATATCTTAATTTGTAAACTTGAAATGTCAAGTTGCAAAATTGTGGATTTCAAACATTATCTTTTGAAACACATTTCTTATATTTTCTATGTAGAATAATTGTGCTGAGTACATAAAAATCTATACAATATTAATTTGCACAGGTACAATTTATATCACCATCCACTTGTACGATAACAAAAAAAAAAAAAAAAAAAAATCAGAAATCAGAAATTAGAAATTAAAAATATATTATTAAAAATCAAATATTAGAGATTCTAATATATTATACTTGAAAATTTTAGAAGTTTGAAAATTTGTGAATCTGAAAATTTGCATCTTGTAAAATAGGTGGAAAATTTAAGTTGAGAATATTTCAAAGGATAATGTATTCGATATGACCTTCTTCGGTATAATTTTCAACGTATCAATTTTGTATGTTGTTAACAAGATGTTGTAACAGAAATATTAGGTATACAAACACCTGGAAAGGCTGTAGTATCAATTTCTATCTAAGAGGGTGCTTGTAATGCCAAGGTCTTGTCCTCGATTGTTCCTGCCTGTTCTCCCGCGTATATTGGGTGCTGCATGCACGTCTACTGACATTTCAATCGTGAAACTAGATCTCCTAGAAATGTTTATGTGAGGCTACGATGACCTGTAGATACCAAGGTTCATTAAGAAAAAGAATCCTGCAAGATTTTGCCATACAGATTAATAGTGTTTCTGAACCCTTTGCACTCGAAAGTAATTTGACTGTTTGCGACTTTCAAACTTACTAGTATAAAAGTTGAATGAATTCTTTTCAGGTTATTATTTCTCTACTAATAATTTCCACTATTTGTTTTACTACGTTTATTCATCACACATGTCATATACAAGGGGTCTTACAAGCAGCGTAGGTCCTTGAAATGGGGGGTAGCTGTCGTGACTCTGAATAAGATTTCCCTTCACAAAAATGGGGTTTGAAGCTTCGTTTTTGAATTATTAAGGAAAACACGGACCAATCAGTGCGCAAGGATTATTACGTGTTGGATTATTACGCGTTGGATTACTACGCGTTGGTTAACTACGCGTTAGATCACCACGCGTTAGATTCCTACGCTTAGAATTACCACGCGTTGCATTACTACGCTTAGAATTACCACGCGTTGCATTACTACACGTTGGACTAACACGCGTTGAATATCCAAGCGCTGGATTACTACGCGTTAGATATCCACGCGCTGGATTACTACGCGTTAGAT